TGAAGGGAACTGTTAATATCAAGCTTAGATTCAAGAAAGTAGCCAATTTTAATAATATTCTTAAAGGATATGTAGACTCCGATTGGGCTAGAAATGAAACTGACAGAAGAAGTACCACTGGGTATTTTTTTAAAATGTTTGAAAATTTTTTGGTTTCTTGGAGTACCATAAAACAAAAGTCGGTTGCTGCTTCATCTACTGAAGCAGAACACATGGCCTTGTTTGAAGGAGTTAGAGAAACTGTTTGGCTAAAATCACTAATAAATGAGATTAATCTAGAATTAAGTGGTCCTATAGATATTTTTGAAGACAACCAAGGTTGTATAAGTATTGCAAACAATCCTACTTGCCATAAGAAAACAAAGCACATAGATATTAAGTATCACTTTACAAGAGAGCAAATTGAAAAGAAACTAATTTGTGTAAGGTATATTCCCACAGATCTGCAACTAGCCGACATATTGACGAAGCCATTACCATCTGCACGGCTTATTTCCTTGAGAAGCCAGCTGGGACTGTCTGAATAAACCAACTACGAACCGTTTAACTATTGCTGAAAATTCATCACCTTTAAAAGCCAAACATGAAATGGATCTCATGAAGTCTTTTGTGATTAATTTCAATTTCCATATTTACTAAGTCTCAAGTAATTGAATTGAATTCATTTTCTTGTTTATTTTTCGTATGGATCTCATAAAGTCCTTGTAAGTAATATAAATTTTCATATTTTATAATCTTAAGTAATTAAATCAAGTTTATATTCCTGTTTACTTTAATTTGTCTAAACTTTTACTCATGTTAATTTTTTTGAATGGATCTAGTTTGGTTTTACTTGGTTTCCCTAACTCTTTCAGCAAATGCTGGATCTAATGTATCCCCAGAATTGAAAACGAAAACTGAAATGAAGAAACAAATTAAAACTAAAGCACAAACTTATGTCAAGAATTAAAGTGATAATCAATGTAACTTTTGAGGCGGCGTGTTGGAATTTGAATGTTCAAATGTACAAAAGTCACTTGGATGTACATGAAGTAGATGCACATTCTGATGTCTCAAGAAAACCGCTAAAAGTAACGAGACCATCGTGATTCTTCTCTCATCTTTTCGTCGTTCTTTTGCTCTCTCGATAGTCTCCTTCACTTCTATTTTGGCATCGAGAGCGAGCGGTTCATTTAGTCTAAATCTGCATTATTATTTGTACATTGGAAGGTGGCCTGCTTAATACTTAATTGTATTATATCTATTTGTCAACAAAACTATAATTTCCTTGTCCACTCGGTTTAGCTTGAGATCAAATACGAACTTGACAGACCAACAGTCCCAGCACAATATAAGGACTGTCATCTTGTATGTATCAACCTGAGCATCGCGATTACCATGTCTCCAAAGAAATCTCAAGGAATCCTGATCTTCCTTACGGACTTGCACTTGCAAAAACATTTCCTTTATATCAGCACATACTGCTATCTTGCCTTTCCGGAATTTAAAAAGGATCGTCGTCAATGGTGGGTTTTCATTGGGTCCTTTTAAAATCATGGTATTCAGGGAAAAGCCGTCGATCGTAGCCGCTGCATCAAATACCAATCTCCTCTTTTTTGGCTTGTTTATATTAATATATATTAATTACACCAAAATGGAGTAAGTACCACGTACGCGGTCCAACGAAAGCGGCTTCTCGATCCGACATTTTAACTGCATATCTTTTATTTATGAAATCCATAATGGCCCTGCAGCCTTTGCAGAGCCATTTTATAACTGCCCGGAAATTTAGTCACATCCTCTTTCCAAAGAAGTCCAGTTTCATAACAGCCATTTAGTTTCCTAGACGTGTTTTTTAATATATCTATGGCTCTGGATATACTGGCAGATTCTAAGGGCTTTATTGGTATTTTTACACCGAAGTTTTCCGTTGTAAAGTAGTCTGCAATCATGTCATGGATTTCTTGTTCATTGCTATATTTTTGGATCATGTGTGTACAACTACAGATACTGTATCTAGTCTGGTTGCTGCTGGGACTAAAACGGTTCTATTAGGCACGGCCATAACTAATATATGCAACATGGGGCGACCTATCGAGCTCGGGCACTGATCGACTCAGGTTCCGAGGCTGCAGTACATTCCGTACATTCCGATAACTGAAGTCTTATCCAATTTCACAAGGCGCTCTAAACGATTTGCCCATCTGGTTTGGCAAAGTTCTAAAATTCCCAGATAGACGTTTTGATGGGAGCTGATATTTTGCCATCCGTTTGAAGAGGTCAGAAACTATTTCCGGCTGGCTAGTAACAGGCCCAGTGTACAATTTGTCCAGCGCCAATCCAGCACCAATTTTTGCGAAAGCAATTTTCACCGAACCACTACCAGATATGCTAGAGAAAATGCGTGATAGCGTTGTCTTTCCGCGACACATTCCTTTGCGGATCCAATATAGAATAGTCAATATCAAATCTGGTTAGATCCAAAGCATGCTGCATTCTAGAGGATTCTATTCCGAAATAAAGACCGTGACCTTTGGTGTCAATTGTTCGTCTTTTCTGGCCATACGCCTACTGCAGCAATTGGCAGAAGACGTATTATTACAAGAAACCAGACTAGCCATTCAAGATCTGCGGAACGCTCTCCTATCTATTTCATTAATGTGTGCTGGTCGGCTTGTTGAATTTTTAGTTTTAGGATCTGGAAATAACTTTTTTCGAATTTTTATTTTGTTTTTTCTCGAGTGCCGGCTAACATTTCTTGAACAGATAAAGTCCTTGCTAAGGCATTTTGGCTTTCTCAAACATCATTGTGAGAGCTTAGTTTGACAGGGACTCGGACTCCCTACTAAGCGTTTTCGGCTCGATAAAATGATAGCGGATTTCCCAGCGCCAACTAAGGGGAAGAAATGAAATCACAGCTGACTTTACCTTGACTTATACCCAAACAGCTTATAGAATAATCAAAGCAGGCAATTTTTGCGTTTTACAGCTTAATTCTGCTCTCTGTAATTGTTTCTCTTTCAGATAAATTAAAGGAGTCGAGAAAGCCAATTTTCTTTTAAGTCGGTCTTTAACTTTTTCGGACAGATAGCTATCAGGCACTTTAACAGGGACTAGAGAAACCGGACCTAAGACACGAATATTTGGACTTTCTATCGCTCCATATCATTGGATGCCCAAACTCTAATTTCTTCGAATTTTTGTACCGGTCCACAACCACTTATGAGTATCCTTTGATTGTATTGTATTTGTATTGTAAACTCTCAGGAGGGAGGCAATCAGTGAACACTGAAGACACAAATTATGGGAAAATTACCAAAAAATTATAGATATGGGAGAAGGCATTAGCCTGGTAGCGCAAACAGTAGCAATATTACCAGAATAGTCAGCCGTCCAAGAGCAGATCTTAAAATAGAACGAATGCAATTAAAACAAGAGAGAACGCTATAGTCGGGTTGTTGTCCCGACTATCTAATACCCGTCGCTCGGCTAAAGGGAGTGCGAGGGAGATGGATATATACCATTTTTTTGATTGCGTATAACTTTTTATTGAATGGTCCGATTTGAAAAATGTCTTCTACATTTCGATAGGTATAAGTATACACAACAAAATTGCATTTATACTTCTCGGAAATCTTTAAAGGTGTGACCACCAGGCACATTTTAAAATAGTTAGTGGGCGATTGTGGGCGTTAGAGGGGGCGTGGCGCTCGGCTGAAATGAACTTGCGCTGCGTAGGAAGCCCAAGAATATGTATGGAAAATCTCAAACTTATAGCTTTTGTAGTTTTCGTTTCATACGGACGGACAGACGGACATGGCTATATCGACTCGGCTAGTGACCCTGATTAAGAATATATATACTTTATAGGGTCGGAAACGCTTCCTTCTCGATGTTATATACCTTTGCACGAATACAATATACCCTTTTACTCTACGAGTAACGGGTATAAAGATTACACGCTATGGGTAACGGAACTTGGGAAGACCGCGCTGTAGGTTTGAGGTATGTTCCAGTTGCACATATCAGGATCAAAGCTGGGCATTCGTTCCTTTAGAGCTACCACTGCGGTGATGGTAGCTAAGTATGAAACCATAGATTACCATGTCCGACGCGTCGGAACGAAATTAACGAATGCTGGGTCCCCAATTTGCCTGATTCAGCGACTCCAGCAGTATTTCCTTCGTATCCAATCCCTTAAATCACAATTTTGAGCGTTGAATTTATTGGCAGTTCACGAAGCATATAACACATAACATATTTAGCCCAATATCTTATTTATGTGTGCCTGAAAACACAAAAAACGAATTTATAATCTGTTTTGCAACATTTCCCCGTTGGAATTTCTAGCAAACGAATAGTTCCGAACACCGTGTCCTTCAGACGTGATCGTTGCTGCAGCTTTTGCTGGTTGTCGAGTTCAAATTTGCTGTCAATGTTTTAGTAAACATGGAATATAAATCTTATAGGTATTACAATCTCTGATCGAACGGAACGCTATCAAATTTCTCCCGCAAATCAGTTATAATTCAAATCCAAATCTTCGTACTCGCTTAAAACCTTTTTGAAAACTAACATTGACAGGAACTCCATCTAAATTCATTTTTTGGTCGATAAAATGACAGCTGATTTCCCAAATGAGGAGAAGTAATCACAGCTGATTTTACCTCTTAGTTTTGCTAGACATGTGCATTAGGGCGGTCCACATTCGTATGGAAATTTTTAAGGTCCTACTCTCGCCCGCCTATACGTTGCGCATTAAGGTATTTAAGGTATGCCAAAATAAATTTTTTGAAAAAAAACCCATGATTATCAAAAAATACGTAGTCGAGTTAACAATGTTCAAAATGAGTTAAATGAGTTTGAATGTGAAGGTAAACTGGTCTGAATAAATAAGTGTGCTGACTCAGCCGAACCAGAAAAAGTGATGTAAATCGAATCGTGTAAATGAGAACACGAACAACTCAGACGAATTATTATATGAAATTTAAACTCGAAATATTATTTAAGAAACATCATACCTGTAGGGTCCAATCTCCAGTTTGTTTGTTATAAATTGAAGTAAATCGTTGATCCGAAGTGTATGTACTTTCAGATACAGTTAGTAGGTGTAGGTCTCTATGGCGTATCCATGATACCTATTTCAAAATGATTTTAAAAAATGAATTACATTTTTATTTTACTAAAAATAAAATAGGGAATAAATACTATTATTTCTAAGGTATGTTAATATAGAACTGTCAAAAATATAAAAGCAATTGCCGATAGCTATAATTTCTTTCCACAAACAATCGCGAAATTTACACTAACAGCCTAAGAGGGTTATTATTGATCTTCAATAATGGTTTCGTTGTTTTAACGCAGCGGTAGGCACACTCATACAATTACATTTTGTTTTATATTTGTGTGAGTAAATTGCACGCCCAGCGGGAAAGTGAGAAGTTTGTTTTTAGTGCTCTTGAAATCCGTTTCCTATTTGCTGGCGGCGGTGGGGGGATAGATAATTTTTGAGCGTTAAATGGGGGTGGGTTTTTGAATAGCATCAATATCAGGCCACTTAATCGCTGTGTGATTTCTGTGGCACTCTGATTATAATATTTTATACCAAAAAATCACTAACTTATAACATTCTGAAATCCTAGGACCTATACCATAACCAAAAGTTTATCTTTTGTTTGTAGTATAATATATATATATATCAGCTCTGATATTTGCGGTATCTTTAATTTAAAAAAATCACAAATTTTCTTCGTCTTTTGGGATATATCTTCGACAGTGGTCAACCAATTTTAGTAATCTTTTCAAAATTAAATAGTTATATGTCTCGTTTTGGAAAATTCAATCTAACTGAAATCTTAAACTTCTAGCTTTTGTAGTTTCCGAGATCTCAGCGTTCATACAGACAGACAGACGGACAAACTAAGTCTTTATTTAAGGAAAAAGTTCTTAATTTAATAATGTTTTGTTCTTTGAATTTTGCACTTCAAATAAGTTCAAACGTTCTTAAAATAAAAACAATCGTTATTAACCTATCAATCAATTGTGGACTACAGCATGGCCTTGTGGGTAGAGACGTTGATACTTTGAATTTTAATTATTACCTTTGGAGAGCGCAGGCCTGAGTTCAAGCCCACCAAATGACATGCTGCTAATGTTTTTATTTGCGCAATACCTCTATGGAACTTCATGTGCCCGCTTTTGCCCCATGTGGATTAGAAGGACAGCTGGCCTAAGGGCAAGCGTGTTTGCCTTATAAAGGGGTGTTAAGGAAACCAAGGACGGATTTGGGGACAGTTGGTTTGGAAAGGAGCCCATCCAAACCGTAGGGGTCACAGATCTTGTAGAGTTTTCTAGGAGTTTCATAGAGAAGCTTTCTGAAGTCGGACGTGCTTTTTAATCGCTCCCACATATTTTCTGCCCCGCGTTGATAATATTGCGACCATTTAGCTACTGTTCGGTTTTATAAATTCCATTTTACAACGCCGTTCTATTTCGATAGCCGAAGACAAAGACAGTTTTATTGTTGATTTGTTTTAACATATTCAATTCAAAGAAAAGCGCAAGCAAAGACATTGCCAAACAACTTGCCTAGTTTGTGGTTGTTTGGTCTGTTTGCCGTTCTCTGCCGCAGTCTACCGCTCTCCGTTACATCGCTTATCTACTTGGACACGCCGGACACTGAATTTACCTGCACCTGCTTTCTTTTGCCTCTGCTGTGTTCATCTCTTCGTGGTACTCATCGCCGCTGAATTTTCTGCTTGCTGTGATTACGCTGCTTTTCGCTTCTTCCTCTCTTATCTCTCGCTCTTAGTTTGATCTGTACTATGCCCACACAATGGTTGAACTAGCTGCCAAAATGAGTTTCAGATAATCTGGTAAGAAATGCGATTTCGGTGGCAACATTGCCTGCGAAATATACCTATTGTGTTGGCTGACGATAACTGCTCGCATAGTAAATGTGGTGGTGGTGGCCATAATGGTCGCAGAGCCGATATTTTATCTAAAAAATCTTGATTCACCTGGTCGTGTAAGGCATGCCGAGGAATTGAAATGGAAATGCGCATTTTTATAAGGGAAACACGAAATGGTTTCCAGAGGGTTCGAAAACAGTTCGCTGCCCTCAATAATGAATTCCTTTCTGTGGAGTCGCGGTCTTGAGTTGAAACTGCTAAGCGACTCCCCAACTAAAACCAACTTGGGGTCTAACTCCACTATTGTGCCCGTTGCCATAACTGCCACGCATCTACCTCTACCTGCTGCACCCAGACCTACATATAATCGGATGGATTATACCGAACCTGCCCATGGCTTAACTGAACCTGCTGCTGCCCTTCACGTTGAACCCATCTCAACGGTCTCTTTAAAAACAGTAGCTCCTGTTGCTCCTGCTACTGCTAGTTCATCTGCTAGCGTACGGCGTCAAACTGGCGTTTTTTATGGTTTCGCCCAACTGGATACTCAAGCTGACGCCGCTGCAAGCACTACTGCCTTTGTGGATCCACCTCTTATGGGAGTACCGCCTCCCTCACGGTCTTTTGGTTCACGTATAAGGGCTGTCAGCCCTCGTAGTGCTATTTTTGTATCCCGATGCTACACCCGATGCCGTTAAAAACCATTTATGCTCTAAACTCGCAGTTACTTCCAATAATTTTATTGTAATTAAATTCAATTTTAACCATGCGCGCAAAATTTCTTCATTTAAAATATTTCTTCCACCTTCTCTATTATCACGAGCTCTTGAACCTACATTATGGCCTGAACACACGATAGTTCATGAATTTTTGCAAAAAGATTCTAACCCGAGTTCCAAAATTACCGATCCAAAAAACTAGATAACATATTCTCCATCCACTATCAAAACGTACGCAGTCTTTTGGGTAAACTGAGTCAAATTCATACTAATAGTGCTGCCTTTGACTTTGATGCCATCGCCTTAACCGAAACCTGGCTTAATTCTTCTGTCTTCGATCATGAAATTTTTATTCATAAGTTCACCACTTATAGAAGGGATCGTCCTTCTTTTGCGGGTGGGTTTCCTTATAGCAGTTATTAACGATTTTTCCTCTAAGTTGTTCCCTTACGCCAACAATGATAGAATTGAATTTTTTGCAGTAAAAAGACACGTCGGTGCTGCTTTTATTTTCATAACTTGCCCATTCACCCCTCCTTGCTCCGACATAAGCGTTTATTCGAGGCACCTTTCTGCCATTCAACTTGTGATGTCAGTCTTAGACTGCGCTAACAGCCTCATTGTAATGGGTGACTTTAACATTCCATTCATATTATGGTTTTTTTGCGATGATACAAACTTTTTGTTACGTAACACAAATCATGATTTCAACGAAGGGATAATCAATCTTTCTCTTGTTCAAATTAATTCCGTAAAAAATAGCCGCGTCAGACTTCTAGACCTGATGTTTGTATGCGATTCTTTGCTTGCAACTGTGTCGAGAGCTAACCCGATATCCCTTCCAGAAGATCCTTATTACCCAACCCTAGCTATTTCTGTTGAGTTTTCTAGCCCAAGTTCTGATTCTGTAACTGCGTGCCCTGCTAAATGTTTCAGAAAAACAGATTTTAACGGTCTTAATTTGCATCTCTCGAGGATCGACTGGTCATTTTTATATGCATTCCAGAATATTGATTCTGCCGTTCATGCTTTCTACGCTTCTATTCTCTCGGCCCTGGATACATTTGTTCCCAAGGATACAATTACTTCAACTTTCAAGCTTTCGTGGCTTACAAGGAATCTTTCTTATTTAAAAAATAAGAAATCTAGGCTATTATAAAAATACCAAAAATCTGGATCTTTGGTTGACTTTGCTCAATACCCCTCTACCCGCTCCCAATTCCTTACCACGCATAGTCAATGTTACTAGTTAATGTAACATGCAGTGCAATGAAAACTTCCGCACTGATCCTAAGCAATTTTACTCGTTTGTTAACTCCAAACGTAAATCTAACGCATTTCCTTCGTTCCTCCGTTATCATAAAAGTGCTGAATCTTTTAATCTTGGTATATTAAACTTATTTGCTTCTTTCTTCCATTCAACTTACTCTACACCCGTTGTCCGTGTCCTTATAACCTACCTTATGTGAACAATATTTTTCTGGCATCTTTCTATCTCTGGATCAATCCTGCATGCCAGTGATTTTGAATGAATAATACATTATTCCTCTGCACAAAAAAGGTTCAAGGTCTGACATTGAAAATTACCGAGGCATTGCATCGCTATCGGCTATTCCCAAACTGCTCGAACACCAGATCACGCACCAACTGCAACACCTCTGCAGCGGTCTTATATCTCAATCTCAGCGTGGTTTTTTTAAACATTGGTCAACGACGACTTATCTTCTTGAGTTCTCTTCTATCATTAATCAAAGTTTTCAGAGCTGCTTGCAAACCGACGTAATTTTCACCGACTTTAGCAAGGCTTTTGATTCGGTAAACCATTCCCTACTTTTGCTTAAGCTTTCGCCTTTGGGATTTCCTCAAAATCTTTTAAAATGGATTGCGTCTTACTTGTCAAACCGTACATAACGTGTTTTGTTCAACTATGTGTTTTTTAAATGTTGTCACATCTGGTGTTCCAAAAGAGAGCCACCTAGGTCCATTACTTTTCTTACTATTTATAAATGACCTTCCTCAAGTAATTTTAAACTCTTCCATCCTCATTTATGCTGATGCTAAAAACTTTTTGTACACGCGCCTTCAGCTTGACTTAATGAATTCCAGAATTGGTGCCAAAATAATTGTTACGTACGCCCTCTCCTTCAATTTATTTGATGGAGAAAGATTCACTTATGAAACAACAACGAATCTTGAGGCAAAAGAAGAGGCACAATTGGCTAGTTGACTCAGAAAAGCAAGCAAAGAAAAGTGCAAGTCGGCGATTCCCGGGTGTCGTATTCCTAATAATAATATTACTCATAAATGGTACTACCCAATATTTCATTCAATAAAATTATAATATGAAAACGTACTTAAAATCATGAAGTGCTAAGTTTTCAGAAAGGGGGTGCTGACGCGATAAGTGGAGTAGGTGAAGAATAATGACATAACTTTTGACGAACAACCTTGACAATAGGGGATCGTATTGCGCGGCCCTCGACGATCCATTTGGCACTCGAATGTGTG